GGAGCTGTGATCAAACACAAAACCCTGCCGTGGTGGGGCTGGCAGCATCATAGACAACGTGAACTGTCGGGCTGAGAATAGCCGCAGTCTCCCGGTGACTGAAGCGACTAAGCAAAAGGTTACCCAATCAAACCCACCAGTCTCTCCATGGGAGAGAGCTGTGGTGTCTGTCTGCTTCTAAGCCCCCTGGGCAGTTCTGTGCCCGGTGGGGTCACTGTGAGTGCCATGGGAAGGATGGCCAAGACCTGGCTGCTTTGGGGCTGAGAGGCAGTATATAGCAGTGAAGTCAGCTTGCTGTCTGAATTTCTGGCGGAAAGAGCCATATTCGGATGAGGCTGAGGACCGAGGGCTATCGCTTCTGATGTCAAATGGCTCTTGGCTGAAAGCAGAGAATACCAGGACGGTGTTTGCCTGTGTTTTACTGACTACGCAAAGGCATTTGATTGCATGGATCAAAACGAATTAGTCCCTGGAGAAGGACATCGGTGCTCAAGAGGAGGAGCCTCCAGGAGCTGGACCGGCGCCGTGGCTACAGTGGGCTCACACGTGGCAAGGACCACAAGGGTAGCACAGGACCAGGCTGCTGTTCAGAGATCCCCACGAGCCATGCCAACTCGGCAGCACCTAACAGCGCACCACAGCAGAGGGACTGCTCAGGAGTCCCTCGGGGAGCCGCGGTGCAGGGCGGTGGGCTCCCTTGAGTTGCATGGGCAGCTGCCCTGCGGGTACCCCGCATCATTGAAAGCTTGGGGGTTCTGATTTCTGAAGCCCCAGGAAGGGGCTTCCCCCAACATCAGGCACCAAACCAATGAGTGGACTGTGCTTCTGGCGCAGAAAGGCGGCCCTTCAGCCCATCGTGGGCGAGAGCCATCATCGGGCCCCTTCTTGGACTTGGTATTCCTAAACTTTCAAACATGTGCCAAACGAGCAGCCCGGTAAACTCTGTGCAGAGCCATTCAAGTCTGGGCCTCGTGGCGACAGGCTCGCCCCCAGCCCAGCCCCTGGATTATTCTGAGACAAACTGAGGCTGGTTGTGGGAAGAAGAGGAAGCCCTGGCCGCCCACCCCCGACCTGAAAGCGGTCTCCCGTGGCCTTCAAGCGCAGGCCGACTCACAGCAAGCCTGTAAGGTGGAGCGGGTAAAGCCACCCTGAGCGTTCCAAGACTGTAACTTCTAGCGGGAGTAGAAAGCCTCCTCTTGTTCCTGCAGGGCAGCTGGTGGTATCGAACCACTGACCTCACGGCAGCCCACCGTGGAACCACGACACCATCAGAGCTCCTAAGGAAGGAAATGCCTACAGGGCAGGCCCTGGACTTTAAGTCGCACCGGAGGGCTAACTGCATGCGGAAGTGGAAGGGGGGCCTCTAGTTCAGCAGATGAAGTGGGCAAAGCCGGGCCTAACTGGCCACCCCCCACTTCCTGCCCCCACCCCCACCCCACCTCTCTGTTTTCTTCCCCTCGCTTTTCTCCCTCACTAGCAATAAAAACATAATTGCGGGGCTTTATAAAATAAAAAAATAATAAAAAGGCAAATTATGGTGACACGCTTTAATTATCCGCCGAGCAATGGCGGGCTGAATTACACAGGCCGGGCCTTGGAGGGTACCTAAAAATAAAGCAAGAAGCCTCATTAGACGCTAATTGCTGCTTTTGCCAACTGAAGTGTGATTTGGGCGCCTTGTGCCACTTCTTGGTGCTAGGCTGTCTTTTGGGGGGGGGGGGTTGGAGACGACGGAGGCCTGGCCCCAGGAGGCTCCGCCAGCCAGGGCTACGCTCTCTGGGACCCCCCAGGATGGCACAGAGCAGGCAGGGGGGCAGAGGGAATCCAAAGTGGCCAGGGAGAGTGACCCAGTCTCCCCTCCCTGTTCAACGGCAGGTGGAACCCTGGCTGGGAGGAGGAGGCAGCGGACCTCTGAGAGTATCACTGAAAGGTGGCCCGTGGCCTGTTCCTGGAGGCAGGGGTCAACCATGACACCTTCTAAAAGCTCCACATCTCCCATGGGTTCCCAGAACCCCTCGCTGCGCCCCTCCCTTTGCCTCTCACCCCAAATCCTGAGGAACCCAGCATGGCATTAGAACTCGGAACAGGACCAGATTAGCTGGACCGGACCCAGACCTGAGACCACAGAGGAGGCCCTGTGCCCTGCTGACCTGGCAGCTCAGTGACTTCCTGTTCCGGACAGGTAGCGGCCACCTGACCAGCTGGGACCCGGTTCTGGGTTGAACTCTTGAGATTAAGACAGGACCTCTTTATGGGACAGTTTTATTCCGTCTTGACATTGAGAATCTCAGGGTCTGGGACCACACCTGTCTTGCTGAGCTGGGGCTTGACCTAGGGGAGACTAGATGAGTGAACAGGGGACGAGAGCTGCCTGAGAGACTGGTGCACCTTGCTTGGCCAGAACTGTCCTTGCTTGAGCTCTGAGAGTCCTGAGTGTACGTCGCCGAGGCCAAGTCCGCTGCTAACGGTTCCGTTCCAACTCACAGAGCCCCACAGAACAGAGGGCGACTGACTGCTCCTTCGGTTTCCGAGACTGTAAAGCTTTACCGCCTCATCTCTCTCCCAAGGCGCAGCAGGTGGGTTTGAACAGTTAGCAGCCTGGTGCTTAACTCACTGTGCCATCAGGGCCCTTTCCTGAGTCCCAGGAACCCTCTAAATCCCTGGCAAGCCAAGGCCTGGCCTCCTACCCCCCAAGCGCCCCCTCCTCAAACCAGTCAAGCACAATGGCCTTTCCACATGCCATGCATTCGCGGTAGGCAGCAGCTCTCAAACGGACCCCCGGATGCCACCCCCACAGCTTCTGAGGCAGGACCCCAGGTGAGCATTGATGACCGCTCCCCAGGAGCCCTTGCGGCACTGCGGGTCACACACTGCACGGCTGAACACGATGCCGATGGTTCAAACCCACCAGCCAGTCCTCGGAGAGAGAGGAGGCTGCCTGCTCCCCTAATGAGTTACAATCTCAGACCCCAGATGAGCCGTCACGACCCCGAATCAGGGCAGTGGCAGTGGGTTTGGGAACACAGGTTCCCAAGTTTGCTGCTTGGTCTGGGTCGTGGCCATGCTTGGAGAGCTACTGCTTTAGAGACAGGGCTCTGATGCCAGAGGCATTTGATTACCACCAATTCATCGGGCCGGTGGGCCTCTCAGTGGGACCCGGTGGGGAGCTTCTAAACGCACCTTTCCACCCACCCACTTAGATTGGGTCCAGTGGGTCTGGGAAGGGACCCGGGCCGCTGTGTGGTCTCAAAGCCCTGGAGTTAGTTTGGAAGTGAATGCTTTGCGCAGTGCGTGAGGGGCTGGGGCCCCGGGGAGCTGCTCGGACTCCCCTCTGGGCCTCCTGCTGGGAGGCCAGGTTGGGGTGAGAGGCAGCCAGCCCAGAGCCTGGCAGCACTTGGGGCTCTTCCGCAGATGCCAGGTCTCTGGGAGTCCCTAGTACAAAACCCTCATCAGACCTGGAGCGCCAGCCCACCCTGCCCGCGTGCCCGCCGCGGAACCCCAGAAGGACCCCCACTTTTCCGACCCACTTGTCCTGGGAGCAGGCCCTGCCTGGGCTGCCTGTGGGACCCTCTACCCTGTGGGGTCCTTGTAGATGGAAAGGGGGAGCCAGTGGGCCTCCCAAATATCTCAGGAACCCACATACCTCCCTCAGGGCATCACCTGTATCCTCAGCCGCCCACCGCCCAAAGCCCACCCAAGGCTTCCTTCTCAGAGTCCCCTGCAGGGTGGACTCTCGCCCTCACCCCAGTTTGCTGAGCTCTGATATGCTCCTTCAGCCTCCCCACTCCCGACCTCGACCCCTACCCCCAGGGCAGGGACAGCCCCCCACTTACCCTCTCCTGAGTGTTGAAGGGGGCAGAAGGGGCAGCACCCCCTGATGAGATTCATTCACTTGCCCCGATGCAGGTACAGGTGTGCCTGGGAAAGTCCTGGGTTCAGCATCAAACCTTGGGGGCCAGCCAGGGCTTCTAGCCCCAGGCTGCAGAGAGCCTCAATACTCTCGAGAGAGGGGCAGGGTGGGGACAGCCCAGGGGGTGTCACCTTGGGGGGCTCTGGCCACACACCCCTCCCTCATTAACCTACACACACGTCCCCTCCCACATAAACCTACACACACACACACACACACACACACACATTAACCTACACACATACCCCCTGTCCAAGCAGCATAGTGAGGGAACCCCCGCCCCTCATTTCCTACCGGAGTGTTTATTGACCGGATACTGGGTGCCACGCGTTTGCCGCAGTCTCTCACAGACCCCCGGGACACGAGATCCCCTGACACGTGTCTGAGACCTTGGCCTCACAAGTCGGGGTGGGCTTCCCAGGGACACCCACCTCCGGCAGGGTTCAGAGCTCCCCCCACATCCAGGCCCAGCATGGCGATGGTGGTGCCAGGCCTGGGGCGGGCCATAAGCGGGCCCTCCCCCACAGGCAGCCGGGGCTCTGGCTGCTGCGGCCTCATTGTGTCTCGGGCACTATAATCTCCCCTTGGCAGAGCACAGCCCCTCCGTGGCCCCCCACCTCCCTGTGTGCCGAGAAGTCCGCACCAGCACCACTCCCACACCAGCCACCAGCCGGCTTGCGAGGAGGTGTGACGTGGACTCAAGCTAAAGGGACCGGCAACCTGGCAGGCATCCCCCCACCCACCACATACACACACACACACACCCCGGCTTAGAGACAAGAGAGGCAGGCAGGAGGCTGTGGGTGCTGGTGCCCCAGAAAGCCACATTCTCATGAGAAGGGTGGCTTTGGCTGGAAGGAGCTGAAAGGGTGCAGGTGGGGCCCGAGTGTGGGTCCCCAAGTGTCCTTAGACCACCAGGTTCCGATTTCTGAAAGGGGCCATGCCCCTGTGCCCACCCCACCCCACAGGACCCACCACACCTTCTCTCATCCCCAGCCCTGCGCCCCCACCCCCCAGCTCCTCCTCCCCGCCTGCCTTGCCCGAGCCTGGGACCCTCAGCTGGCAAGGAGCCAGGGTGCAAAACCAGGTGTTTATTTTTATTAGAAATGTCCTTGGTATAAAAACAATCATGCATGACACATCGTCATCAATAACCATCACCAGACACCCAGGCACTGAACTCCATGTCGTCGGCGGGAGGGGCAGGCGGGCAGGCGGGCAGGCGGGCAGGACAGACGGGGACAGGGGGCAGGCGGGCAGGCTGTGGGCCCCAGGGACACACACTGAGGCCACCGGGAGGACGCGGCACTTGGCAACACACTCGAGACTCGTTTTGTGTGTGTGTGTGTGTGTGTGTGTGCTTTGTTTTGCTCTTTGCTCTTCTGCGGCATGAACCGTTTGGCGACTTACGACGGGGAGAGTAAAGGAAGGCTGGGCGGGGGGCAGAGGAGGACAAGAAAGAAAAACACAAGACCAGGGGAGACACAGGTGGAGCACGTGAGAAGGCACAGAGCCCTGGGGACGGAGAGCGGGGGACGAGGGGAGGGGGGCAAGAGCCAGAAAGAAAGGCGGCTGAGCAAAGGGACAGAGAGACAGAGGGGGCAAAGGTGACTCACAGAGAGGAGGACGCAGAGGCGGGGGGAGTGACAGTCACCATGGAACAGATGTGAATGGGGGGATATAGGAACGCAGCACTGGGCCCACACACCTGAGCCCCTGTGGTTTGGGGTGGGACAGGCAACGGCCCCAGACCAGGCTCTAGGTGGGGAGGGGCCTGAGTCACCCAGCCCCTCATTCTCTTTCTGCCTCCCTCCAGTTTTCCCTGGCTGCCCAGCAGTGACCGCTGGGGGCTCTGCTGTCCTCAGCACCAAGCCATGTCCGTGGGCACCCACGGGCAGGCAGGATGGCGGCGGCGGCGGCGGCAGGGCCCTTGGGCTTGGCCTTGGCCCAATGCACCATCCACAAGGGTCTCGGGTCCTCCCGCTGCCCAGCTCGGCAGCGGCCTCCTCGCTAGATTGCATGGTTGGTGTAGGCGACGTAGGTCTGTTTGGTGGCCAGAGCTGGAAGGAAAGAGACAAGGGGTACCCAGAATCAGAGGTGGCTCTTCAGGAACCCCTCTGCACCAGTGCCTCCCTTAGCTTCCCCCCAACCCCACCCTCCCCGTGGCACCTAGCCAACCTCCCTGGCAGGCACTCCTCCTGCGGGCAGCCCAGGCCGCAGGCACACCATTCCCACGTCCGCATCTTTGCTTGGGTGGCACTACCTGCCTGGAGCACCCAGCCCACCCCACCTTGGTCTCCCAGCTATGAGACACTGAGCCCCCCCACAGGCAGCTGCACAGCTGGTGATGACGTCAGCTCTCGTGGGCAGCATGAGTGTCTACCCCTTGACTCCCCTACCCCCACCCTGCTGGGCTCCGGCTTCACGCCAGCTGGGGGAGGAGGCCCCAGCTTATCCGAAAAGTCCGTGCAACCCAGGCTGACTGCGAACCCAATGGTGGCGGCTATGATCAAAGAAATCACGGGATTCCACCCCATGGGGCCTTGGAAGGTCCTGGTGAGCTACTCCCCCAAACCGGCCACTGAAACCCCACTGCAGCAGGCATGTGCTGACACGGGGGAGCCACCACGAAGGGGGTCAACTCCACGACACTGGTGCTGGCCGCACCCTGCTGAAGAGCTGAGGCACTAAGGGCAGATGGGGAGGAATCCAGCCGGGCCTCCGTTCTGTCCCATGACCCGGTGCCACGTCCTGCCTCGTCAGGGTTTATGGCCTTCTGACAGGGTCTCTCTCAGTGGCAATAATGCTGCCCAGTGTGGGGGCTGCCTGGCCGGTGCTGGGGGAGGCGGTGGCTGGGCGGGGACACGCAATGCCCTTTGGTGCAGTCACACTGCTGAGACCCACTGTCGGGTCCTGCCAGCTCCAGAGGGAGAGTCCACCCACGGGGCCAGCAGGGGCGCTTGTCCAGAGAAGAGTGCACCGCGGCAGCAGTGTGGTGGACCGCAAGCAGTCCCCTGCAAGCCTCTCTCAGGGTTGCTGGACGTGTGCCCCTACCGCACGAGATTGCTATCATAAAGGAGAAAGGAGACAGAAAGAAACATGGATGTCATGCCTAAAGACCCAGGGTTTGAAGGACATGTGGAAGCCAGGGAGAGCAGGGAAGTGGGGAGGGGCAAACAGGGTCATCTCAAAATATGATAAAAAATTTTAAAAGGAGACACAATAATACTAATTTATAAATTATCAAGGGTTCGTGGGGGCGCGGGGAACAGGGAGGGAGGGGGAAACAAGAGGAGCTGATACCAAGGGCTCAAGTAGAAAGCAAATGTTTTGAGAATGATGAGGGCAACAAATGTACAAATGCGCTTGACACAATGGATGGATGCGAGGGTATTGATAAGAGTTGTTACAAGCCCCCGATAAAATGACATCATCATTAAAAACATTTTTTAAAGGATTACATTTCCCAGCTTCCCTTGCAGCTGAGTGTAGACAGACCATGTGGTTCTGTCCTCACTCATAAGTGTGAGTGGAAGGTGGTGTGCAGCTTCCTGGCCACTGTCTGGCTCCCCTCCCGTTGCCACCCACAGGCAGAGCAGACCTGGGCTCAACCTGCCCCAACCGTTAGCACCAGGACACCCGTCTGGGAGCTGGTGGAGCAACAAGAAGGAGGGAATCAGGGTCTCCAGCTCCTGCCGTCTCCTGTACTATTAATTCAGAGAGAATCGGCATCGGTCTTATTTGAGCCACTCTATCCTGGGGCCTCTCTGTCATAACAACATCACCCGAAGCCCATGAATGCAGGCAGGATTTCAGTGCCCGGCGATCAGAGGGCCAACCTGTGCAGGAAGAGGGACATTTGTGAGCTGAGGATACAGAGTGACAGCAATGGGGTGGCACAGGCTCAGAATTCACCACAGCTTAAGGAGACCGAAGTGTGGCGTGGACAGCCTTGTGTGTGCTAGTGAGCTCTCTGGCAGCAAACATATTCCAGCAGAGCCGGGGCAGGGGCAGCGGCAGAGAAGTTTTAAGCTTGAGATGCTACCTGGCCACATGTCAATGGAACGAAATGGTGCTTAGGACATCCCGGGCACGTCCAGAAACACGGTTCACGAAGAATCCCCAGGGTGACCCTAACATGACCAGTTCCTCTCCGGGGTGACTGAGAGATGCGTGGGACAGGCCCGTATGGATGGGGCATCATCCGGGATGTTGTCTGGCGTGCAATCAGAGAGAGGAGCTGGGCAGCTGGAGGCTGGGATCCCACCCCCTCCCCGGATGGCAGAAGGTTCTAGCGGGGAGGTGGGAGGACAAGCAGAGAAAACGCTGGAGGCAGGAGCCTGGATTCTAGTTGCAATGAGATCTCCAGCTCCACCTGCGACTTCAACCAGGTTCCCTTCTCCTCTCCAGGGCCTCAGTTTCCCTGCCTGGAATGCAAGACAGGTAGTCCTTTCTGCCCTCCCCTCCTTCTCCTGACGGGCTGGCCACCCACTGTCAGAAAAAGAGCCGGGCCGTGGCTCTGCAAATCTCTCCCGGGCAGGTGAGGCTGGTGAGAATCAAATCCCCAGGGCTCCATTGCCCGCTGGGTGAACTGATAAAACTGTGTTTCCAAACCTGAGACACCTGCTAGAGGCCCCTGGCTCTGAGGTGAGGGAAACCCCACTGAGTGCCAAGAACGCGTGAGCGGGAGCCTGGGGCCGGGCCGAGGGGCCAGCAGCGGGGCTGGGGAAGCCCGCAGGGAGGAGCCTTTGCCAGAAAAGTCCAGTCCAGAACTGAGCTTTCAACCACCAGCCAGGGACCCCCGAGCCCTTCAACCGACGGCCACCGCAGTCTCACTCTCTGGATGGTGGGAACCAGGAGCGCCCACGGCCGCAGTTTCTTCATCCGTAAAACGGGGTTGCCAACAAGCCCTTGGTTGCCTCTTGGGCAAAGGACCGATGGGAAGGCACTTTAACCCCTGCCAAACGCTGGGCAACGTAACAAGGACAGTGAGGAGCCACACTCCAGGGGATCCCCAGAACACCCAAGAAGGGGGGTGCATGAGGGAGGGCCCTGAACTCCCCCCCCCCACACACACACACACACATGCCTGTTGCTGACACAGGCCCCACAGGCCCCGGCTGCTGCCTGTCAGTCCCGTGCCGCCTCAGATAACAATTAGCAGGGCAGCAGCAGGCGCGAGCTGACAGCCCCCATTTGTCGCCCCGGTGTCTCCGAGCCCAATCTGCCTGCAATCGTGCCCCTGAATTATTTATTCTGCTGTTTGTTTAAAGATACGCGGCCTGCCCGTGACAGTGAAAAATGTCCCTGTTCCACAGAGTGACACCTCCCCACCCCTCCCGCTCACGCCTCAGTCCGTTTGTCCCCAGAATGAATCACCCACAGCCCACCGGGCGTCTCCATGCCCTTGCTGTCACTGCGCTGAGAGATGGTGGGGACAGGGGGCGCTGGCCTTTGGCCTTCCCTGGGGCAGGGGACTGGCTCTCAATCTTCCCTGCAGGGCACCAGGGTCTCCCCTCGCCGTGCCTCCTAGTCTGACCGGGAGGGAAATTGGCCCTATCCCAGGTGACTGGCCCAAGCAGAAGCACAGGGAGGGGTGTCGGTGGAGGTCACTGCTCCTCTAGGCCACTCTGGCCTGTCCCAGAACCGAGTGGGTCACCTCTGGGGTCAGAGTGAGTTCCAGCTAGATGCTATGCTCCAGAGGGAGGGGGCTGTGGCCTGCTCTGAAGGCCTGGGACACAGGAAGGGCCAGTCTCAGGAGCAGGGACCAGGGACCAGGGACCAGGGCAGGAGTTCCTGCAGGGGGGTAAGATTGGGGAGGTCTGGGGGCTTCCTTGGGGTTCAGGAACACCTGTGTGGACACAGAGGGTCTGCAGTGGAGAGTCCTGTGGGGACAATCAGTGTGGACGGCCTGGGACACTTGAGGGAGGTGTGACACTATCTATGGAGAGGGGAAGCTGGGAGATCAGGGGTGGGGGGAAGGGGGAGCCACACACAGGGTCTCCAAGGGGTTCCAGGCAGAGGAAGGTGTGTGAGAAGATGGGCATACTGCTCGCCACAGAGGAGGGGCCCCCCTCAGAGACCGGAGTCACAGTGTGACAGTGTGTGGGGTGCAGAGGGCCAGCCACCACGTTGCTGTGTGACTCAGGAGGCCTGGACCCCCCCCCCTTCCCAGAGCTGCCCGGCATACTGGGGGTGGGGGTCTGGGAAGTGTAAACCCTTATCTGGATCTGCTCTGGGCCTTCCTGTAGTCTAGCTTCAATCCCTCCTGTTGCTATAGCAAATGTTTGCACCTGGCTTTCCTCCCCTACTTCAGAGAGAGAATGAATGCTGGACACCGCCGCGCCGCCCCCC